TTCATCATCCAATAAGATAAACTTGAAGACCGAGGTTTAAACTTGGTGCCCCTGAATCCTCAAACACTCACAAAAACCCAAGTTTTGGGCCTACCAAGGAGGCTAGTATTTCGGAGTGTATATAAAATCTATTTGTCTTTTATATACACACCGGGAGTGTATATAGCCACGGCGTAATAAAAAAGATTAAAAACCTCCTTGCATATTGATGTTTAGCCACTGGTCAAGCTGCTCACGAACTCAAAACCGTACGTTTACCGGCTCTAAAATTCATACGCCATTTGCTTTATGGCAGCTAATGAGACAAAAGTATGGTTTCTTTCATCATTTATTGAAAATAGTATTGTCTATTTTGTTTCAGGGATTTCTCCAACGGTTTTCTGGTTGCAGAGATTTTCTCCTGGTATTACCCACAGTCTATCCAGATGCACTCCTATGACAACGGAACATCTTTACCCACCAAACTGGGCAACTGGTCCCAGCTGGAGAGGGTGAGTAGAAGAACACTGTGTATATATAATTGTAGGAAAGCTGTGTGGACTGTAAGAAACAGGGGCAAGCAGTAGAAACAGGAAGAAACCCCTGGTCCTGGGTGGGTTCGAACTCACGGTGACGCCCTCCCAAGCACCAGCTTCAAACTCCGACTCTCTAACCACTTGGCTGAAAAGGTCCAGACCCCTCGGCCGGGTCAGTTGGTAGTGCCTATAACCCCCCCATTGTTACACTACTCACCCTTTTCTTTTCAAGATTCGTCCTCGAATCTTCCGAATTTGACATCCCTGGAGCGGCGCTCTTTGCCAAACTCCAAGGGCCGGTGTGGGAACCACTGTAAGAAACAGGAGGAGCCAGTAGAAATAGATAAAAACCCACTGGTCCCGGGCCGGGGACCAAACCCGGGCACCAGTCCACACACCAACACTCTAACCACTCGACCGAAAAGGTCTAGACCCATCGGCTGGGTCAGTTGGTAGCGCCTATAACCCCCCCATTGTTACAGGACATTCAAAATTAAATGGCAGCATTAGTGTCTGTTCAACGTCCAAACAGCAACATTAAAGCAATACTATGTAAGATTTTCACTATTTTAAACATTGTTGTTTTATACAATTTTCTTGGGCTATAATCCTACCTTGATTCATAATGACATTTCGGGAGTAAAAGATTAATTTTTTAATGTCGTTGCACAGCAAAAATGTGTTGGAAGCTGCTTAAGATACCCGAACAAAATCCGCTGTTCATTTACATTCTGTCATTCTTTTCAGAAGCCTCCTAAAAATACTTATTCTTGCACTTATTGAAAATCACAATCTAGAAAATTTCAATTATCTACATTACAGTTTTGGTGCAAAAATATTTCATAATACAGCTGTATCAATTTAAGATCTTGGAATCCAAGAATAGACACTAAGAATTAAGTGAGATTTTTTAGTTAAAGATATGACGTTACATGTATTATAGCATGCAGACATTGTTGTTGTTTTTTTGTGCTCCAGCAAACCACTACCTCCTCCCATTTGGAACCAGAACAGTTGTCTGCACACTATATCTTGAACTAAAAAAACTAACTTTATTCTTGGTGTCTGTTGAGTCTCTGGATGAGTCAAGCATTTGAATAAAAAGCATTGCGTATACCGGGTACCGCCAAAGCAGAGTCAAGTTTTGAGTTCTACACTTTTGTCCAGTATGTTCATGGTGGTTTACGCAAAATTATTCTGCATGAAGAAATACAATTGTATGATCCGTAGATAATTTCATCAGGTTGGTAAACGACTGAATAGCAAAGTTCTTTTTATCACAACCATTAATTTTTCAAGCCGACATTTTGATGACCTCCTGTCATCTTCATCAGGGCAATTCTGATATAATTTCTATTTGGGACTGTGATAGCTCAGTATAGTTAACAAATCTTATATATAGAAACACTTTACATTTGGAACCACATATTTCCCTATGATGTAACAATGCCTAGTATGTATGTCACGATTACACTACGTTCCGGAATGTATTGTAAACAGAAAAAACTAGCTTAAGTGCACTATGAACTATGTAACACCTTTAGTGCACTATGCACCAAGTAACATCTAGCGTCAGTGCACAGTAAACCAGTCAAAATTGCCCTGATGAAGGTGACAGACGGTCATCGAAACGTCGGCTTAAAAAATAAATGGTTGTGATAAAAAGAACTTTGCTATTCTACAACTGTATGATGTACGCACCAAGAAAACTTATTGTTCTGGCTTTTACTGTTTCAGGTATTTGTAAAACACAGCTTGGATATTCCAAAGGAGCTGATAGATGGAACGATCCATTGCAAGCCGGGGGCCGCAGAGCTATTGGTACAGCAGACATACACTATCCTCACTAACAGAATGTAAGTTGTGTAAACATTTTTCATATGCAAAGCTTGAAAGTCTAATAAACCTGGCAAAGACACAATGTATAATGTCCCACTGCCCCTACAGCCTCAAAAAGGGAAAAAATGGTTGTGTGGTCCTGGTCACAAAGAACCCCACAGGTTTAAAAGATGGACTGATTCATGTCACCAGCAAGGCTGGAATCGTGGGAAAACTGCTCACTTTGTCATTGAAAAAAGTTATCTCAAAACAAAACGCAGGAAATGCCATTTCAGAAGGTTCATTTTTCCAAATTTCCTGGGGGAGCATGCCCCCGGACCCCCCTAAGAACCTTGCGCCTTCCCTCAAACAGTGGGGAGAACCCCCCATTCAAAATCCTGGCTACGGGCATGCACAAAGTACCCGTCAGAACTAAGAGAGTTTATGTCACACAATCATGTTGAATAAGACTTTGAAATTCTTATTTAAGTCTTGATATTGTATTGTTTGTACTGTCGTCATCTTCCAACATTCCATAAAAGTTGTAATATTAGTTATATATTGACTGTTTCTCTTTCCAGAGTGAAGAATTTGCCTTCTGAGCAGGAGCAGATTGACTTCACAGACAGGAGCTATCAACTGACCCTGCCCATGCATGCCAGGTCAACAGTCTCACAGGTGCAGTATGGTCACTTCATCAAGACACTCTGATTTGCATAATTCATAGAGTGGACGTATTTCAGCACAAGGGACAGAGACAGTCAAGTTTTTAGAGTGGACGTATTTCAGCACCAGGGACAGAGACAGTCAAGTTTTTAGAGTGAGCGTATTTCAGCACCAGGGACATAGACAGTCAAGTTTTTAGAGTGGACGTATTTCAGCACCAGGAACAGAGACAGTCAAGTTTTAAGAGTGAGCGTATTTCAGCACCAGGGACAGAGACAGTCAAGTTTTTAGAGTGGACGTATTTCAGCACAAGAGACAGTCAAGTTTTTAGAGTGAGCGTATTTCAGCACCAGGGACAGAGACAGTCAAGTTTTTAGAGTGAGCGTATTTCAGCACCAGGGACAGAGACAGTCAGGTTTTTAAAGTGGATGTATTTCAGCACCAGGGACAAAGACAGTCAAATTTTTAGAGTCGAGGTATTTCAGCACCAGGGACAGAGACAGTCAAGTTTTTAGAGTGGACGTATTTCAGCACCAGGGACATAGACAGTCAAGTTTTTAGAGTGGATTTATTTCAGCACCAGGGACAGAGACAGTCAAGTTTTTAGAGTGAGCGTATTTCAGCACCAGGGACAGAGACAGTCAAGTTTTTAAAGTGGAGGTATTTCAGCACCAGGGACAGAGACAGTCAAGTTTTTAGAGTGAGCGTATTTCAGCACCAGGGACAGAGACAGTCAAGTTTTTAGAGTGAGCGTATTTCAGCACCAGGGACAGAGACAGTCAGGTTTTTAGAGTGGATTTATTTCATCACCAGGGACAGAGACAGTCAGGTTTTTAGAGTGGGTGTATTTCAGCACCAGGGACAGAGACAGTCAAGTTTTTAGAGTGGAGGTATTTCAGCACAAGGGATAGGGGCAGTTATGTTAGAGTTTTCTGTTAGAGCGTATTTCAGCAATATATGTACACTGATATCACATCACACACTAAAGGTCAGCAGTGTAACATGTAAAAATCACACACAGATATACATACACACACACACACACACACACACATATTCACACACATCACGCATACACACACACACACACACACACACATGCACACACACACACACACAAATACACTCAGACACACACAGACACACATACGCACACATACATATACATGCACACATACATACACATACACATACATGCACACAGACACACACATGCATGGACATACAGGCACACAGACACACACAGAAACACACACACACACACATACATGCACACACACATGCACACATACATACACACACAAACACACAGACATGATACATGCACACACCATCACACACACACATGCACAGGCACTCTCCCACACACAGTCACACATTAACACGTTTGCACATACACACATTCATACACTGTGTATGATCACTAATTGCTATGTGAAATCAAGACCCTTGGTGCAAATGAATTTCTATCATGAACATCAAATGAAGTATTATCCTTTTTCTTACAGGCATTGAAAAATAATCTGAAGATCACAGAGTTCATGACTGACCCAAACGTAATAACATGTCAAGAAAAGGTAATGTTCACAACGTTTGTTTTAAGTGTCTGTTCCTTTCCAGAATTCCAATGATAGTTTGCGGTCATTTGATGAGTAACACATAATTTCACCAGTCCACATAGATCTGCTACCCTGAAAAATGTGTGTATCTTGCAAATGTACATATTTGATATACATATCAGTCTGTATATTAATGGACATGAACTTCAAAATCTCTATCTTGTTAACTTGAAGCTTTTTTCATAACAACACCATGTCTTTATTAGTCTATAACCACCTGAGGTGGCACATTCTCATTATGATATCCATATTTGATTGTTTACCACTTCCCTTTGTTTAAGTTGAAAGGGACATGGTCCATATGAGGTCAAAATTCAAGGTCAGATAGGAAGGTCAAAGCTACCACACTACATGACAGCTATCATATTAAAAGATATCCCACAAACACTTATAAAAAAACATAGTGTGAATTTGCCACCTTAGGTGGTACCCATAACTCACCTGGCTTATGTGGACTAAATTTTCTCAGTCCTTTGGGTGTGTGCAAATTAGCTCAATTGGTAGAGTGCTTGCTTTGTAACCAGGAGGTCGTGAGTTCAAACCCTGGCTGGGTCATACCAAAGACTTGGTACAAAAAAATGGTACACACTTCTTTCTCTGCTTAGCACATATGAGAAAGAGTGTGGGAAGGTCAAATACACAGCACTACCAGCAGACCAGCCCCCTGCTGTAGTGCATTGCACAATTGTGTGTCACCCAAAGGCTACGGAAATGGATATGGGCACCACCCTACGCTCTGCATTAGGGCACGGGAGACCTTTCTTTCTTTTTTCTTTGGGTGGTTGTCATAGACAAATTTGACTGAATTTACTTGATCCCTCATGAGATTTTCTCTTGCACTTCTAGGCTCAACAGCTCATCCACAAACACCAGCAGCACAGGGTGCAGGAGAGGGTGGAGGATCCAGGTAGGTTTAAATCATCATGGAGGTCATGCAGAAATGTCCCCATGAGTCTTAAGCACGTTAGGCCACACCAATTTAATTTGTTGCTTCTCGGATCGCTTTGTCCATTTTTTTCTGATTTGCAAAAGAAAAATTTTTTGGGGTTCTAAATTAACTGCAAAATGCTCAATGAAAGACATATTTTGGCCCCAACGGTTGAAAAAAAGTCCTTTTCTTCCTAGTTCTTAAGTTTTTCAATGTAACAATGTAATTATAAACCAGCCTGGTATGTTAACTTCATGGCTCATATTGTAACATTTCTGGCTATCATGGGGTGCCTTGGCCTATTATTTTTATTTCTATTTTGCCCTATCGCTCCTGATTTTTTCTGGAAAAATCAGAGAAACAACAAATTAAATTGGTGTGGCCTAATCTTAATTGAGAACATCTTCAGTATTTTCAATTGATAAAGTTGGTCTTACATGTCTGTATCTAGTCATGCGACCCTGTTCATTCAATTTTCTTGTCATTGCTGCTTTAGGCCACACCAATTTAATTTGTTGGTTCTCGGATTTTTTCATGAAAAATGTGAAGCGACAGGGCGAAAAAAAAAAAAAAANAAAAAACAATACGACCC